CTTAGAAAGTAGGAGTTGCTAGCAATGGGAGGCTGTTATAGTTCATTGGCTTGTATCTGTGGTCACACTAGGTATGTTTCCCGGCCTTTGTCATAGTGACTTTTGTATCTTGTATCTTAATGCCAACACAAGGCTCAATACAGAATAAATGTGCCAAGATGAAACCTCTTGCCAGGCAAGCTTCCCCTTGGCTCCTGGTGCTTCTTGAACTTCACTTTCCTGCCTGGTTCTGATGCTCATCTTAACTGCCAGGCAAACTCTCTGAAGGGTAGGGAGCCATGACTGAGTAACAGCTCAGTCTGCACAAAGACCTGATTTCAATCCCCAGGCCTCGGACAAAAGAAGCTGAGTGCAGAGCACGTGTTTATTATAGTCCCAGTATTGGGTAGAAAGACAAGCAGATCCTTGGAGCTAGCTGGCCAGTTGCCCTAATCTAATGTGTGAGTTCCAGGCCAGCCAAAGATGCTTTCTCAACAAGGTAGACGGATGGCTGCTGAGGGACCGTCTGGCCTACATATGAACACAAGCCAGAGTTGGGTCAGGGATCATGAGTTAGGGTGTCATCCCTATTTTAAGGCTCACCAGAGAATTCATGGGCTTCTCCAGGTGCCATGGGACTGCCTGCTATGGGAGTTATATCCAGAATGTTCCAGGCAGCTGAGAAGCTTCCTCAGATTGAGTCTTGTCAAAGGGGTATAGGCCCAAGCACCCCACCCCACCCTTTGTTTGATCAGTGTTTCCAAAGAACAAGTCCATACCCAGAAGTTTGCACAGCGGCTTTGTTGGCTGCCACCTCAACACTATTACCACTGAGTTGTTCCTCCAGCAGCCTGTCATGGCTCTGGCATCCACAACCCTCCCTTTGAAGGAAAGAGTGTAGCAAAGCATATGGCTAGTGGCTAGTGGCTAGTGGCTAGTGACATCTTTTTATTTCCACCACATTTGTTTTTACTGATAGCATGCTCAGGTGCTTCCCAGCAGCTTTCCCTGTGAGCCGTGTGGATTCTCTTCTACTAATAAGCACTTTAAAACATTGTCTAAGAAGGGTTAAGGGGTGGAGAGCTGGAGGACACTAGCGATCTGGGATTGACAGTTTGCAGGGGCTCTTTAATGCAAGCCTCGGGCCTGGCACAGGCATTGACATTTGTGGCTTCAGTCTGTTGTCTGGGCATGAGAAGGTGACCTGGTCTTCTTCTGTCAAACCTACCAGCCCTGTCCTAATCAGCGGAGTTGCTCATTGGCTCACTGACTCAGTATTCCTTCCTTCTTTCCTTCCTTCCTTCCTTCCTTCCTTCCTTCCTTCCTTCCTTCCTTCCTTCCTTCATTCCTCCTTCCCTCCCTCCCTCTTTCCTTTCCTTTTCATTCTTTCTCTCTTCCTTCGTCTCTCTCTCTCTCTCTCTCTCTCTCTCTCTCTCTCATGTAGTATATAGATGTGCCATGGTACGATATACACACGGAGGTCAGAGAACAAGTTGTGTAAATCGGTTCTCTCCTTCCATCATTTATTCCCAGGGATCTAATTCGGGTCACCAGACTTGGCCGAACTATTTCACCAACAGTTTCTTATTCTTTCTTGTCTTGGGGGAAAGCTTGGATTTTTGTTTTGTGTTGTTTTGCCTTACAGTCTAGCAGCCAGGCCCTGGCTGTATCATGAACTTTCTTGTAAGGAAATGAGGCTGGTGTGGGCAACGAAGGTCTTGGCAAACCCAGAACGAGCATGGGAACTGTCGGCAAAGTATCTCTGTCCTCTCAGATCACTCTGAAACAATCTATATCTGCCTAAATGTGCCAGCTCTACCACGTGGGATGGCCGCTGTTGTAACAGCCATGCCAACTGTCCCTATCAGTTTTCACCTGTGGCCATACAACACAAGAAACCAGATGATGTGGAAGCTTGTCCTGTGTCCCTGGGGCGTCTGTGAGCTGCAGGCAGGGAGATGTGACGTGGAATGGAAGGATGAGTGGACACGTGATGTGTTTTAGTTGCTCAGGTGAGGACACAGACATAGTGGATTAGGTTTGTGTCCCTCGCATTCAGAAACTGTGGGTCAAAGGACTGCCCAGTTGGAGGACAAAGGACACAGCATGGCCATTAGTAGCACAGAAGAATCACACCTTCTATTTTGACAAAAAAGCCGACCTCAACTGAATCTACCAACATAGCAAATTCTCTCTGCTTGAGAAAGGCCCAGTCTCCAGCACACCCTTCCTGGGAGACTAGACTTTACAAAACATACCTAATCAAATACGTAGAACCCAGAGGTGCACAAAGTGAAAGTTGGGTCAAATTCTGTGCATTGATGTGTAAAAATCCTGTGTTTGTGATATTTGAGAACATGTGGCCCTCAGAGCCCATGCTCGAGATGGAGCAACTGCTTTCAGTTGGAAGTTTAATTCCAAAATTCAAGATGATTGGATAATATCTGCCAATATCATTAGAATATTTAGACCTTCATGGTCACTTTACTTGGGTATAAAAGCACCCTTCCTTGGGAAGACTTTGTTCTCTGCTGTAGAAGAAAAGGGATTCTTGGGTCTGAGAGTTTCACTCCCAACCGAACACTTTTGCCTAGGACCTGCAAGGACTGGAGGTCAGTGAGGGGTGAGTGTGAATATTATAATCCTTCAATTCCTAATTTCAGTTTAGGATATCAAAGATGGACTGGAAAGATGGTTCAATGGGCAAAGGTGCTCATGGCCAACTGCAACCCGAGTTCCATTCCAGAGACCCACATGTCAGAAGGAGAAAATCAGTTCCTAAAAGTTGTTCTCTGACCTCCATGTGTGCTGTGCCATTCACTAGTGTACATGCACATGCACAAACACACTACATGTGTATATATATGCATATATATATATATATATATATATTTATAAAATAATATTTTAACTCATCTTCAGAGCTTGTTTTGCACTTTGCACTGAGGCATCTCAAATGGAAGTAACACAGAGGCCGCCATATTGGACAGCACAAAGCTGAGAAAATTAATTAGCTGGAATTAATAAGGGGCATTTATTATTTAAAGAACCTGCTCTCATCAACCAGATTGGCTCAAGGGCACCTTGAAATAATCAAGTTTACAAATAAGACAAAATTCATAGTTTTAAGTAGGGAAAGATAGATTGATTTTTAAAAATTAAACCATTTCTGTATTTGTGGTGCTTGGTGTCAAAGTGGGCACCTTGCACACCCTAGAAAAATGCTCTGTCACTGAGTGGCATCACTAACCCGAAGTTCTATTATTTTAAAATAATTACAAACTGCGTTTTCAGGTCACAAAAGACTTTACCCTCTAACCAGGAATTTGAGGATCAGGGCAGGATTGGTGCTCAGGCCCTTGGTGAATCAGAAGCAACAGTAGGTAAAACTACAGTTTCATAACCCTGTCTTCCCTGTAGTCGGGGGCTTTTAGTTCTCTATCTCAGTCTCTTTCCCCCTTACATGGTCAGGACACTGAGGCACGGAACTGAGCCCAGGCAACAGGGAGTAAGATCATGAACCAGAGGGTCTGTGTCTCTAAGCAGAGGGCACCCAGTCACATTCAGACCTTGGCAGGGGCTGGCTGGAACCAGGTACCAGGTCTTGGAAGAGGCCTGTGGCTCTTAAGAAAGCCAGCATCGGCCAACCTCTGACCCTCAGAATAGAACCAAGCAAAGCTTGGATCACTCACATACCTAAGGGTAGGCTCTCTGGAGCCTGCCTGGTGCTGAGGTCTAGCCTTCCTGTGGGCATCACCTGCACCCATCTTCTCAGACCAAGAACCAGCCACTCATTAGCCTCAGCACAAAGGGCTCAGTTCCAGCCCTCAGTACTACTGGGAAGCGGTGGAAATAGAAGGAGCTGGTTGTTTGAAGCCCCAGTCTGGGGGGTCAGCTGTCCTTTCCCTTTAGGACTTGATTCTGAGCCTGTGCCAGGCTCTTAGGAAGGGCAGGGATAGCAGCTAGTGGACAGGAAGAGACAGGAGAACTCTTAGCAGTTTCAGTCAGCCTGGGCAGAAGGCAGCTGAACCCCTAGAGCAAGTACTTTGCAAACAGCTGCTCAAGAAAGGACAGCCAAGACACGAGGGTCCCACTTCTAGAGCAAAATAACTTTCCGCAAGCCTGTCTGACACCAGGGAGCATGGAGAATGTGGCTTTGGATTCAGACAGAGAGGACACAGTCCTTTAGAAATCCGCAAGTGCTCACAGTCTCCCAGCCAGCCTGATATCTCTGCCCCTCTGCCTGGGTTCCCTGCTGTAGGACAGACCTGACTCCTTACTTAGGCCATAAGCTTGTTTCTGTATCATCTCTCCCAACCCCCCACCCAAATGTAAGGCCCAGCACGTGTTGGGACTCTCGAGTCTCTGGGCTATTGCCTGTTCCAGCTAGCTTGGCATCCACACTCTATGGCATCTCACAAGTGTCTGATGACCCCAGGCCTTTCCTCCAGAACCCTGGCCCAGGAGGCAAGGATACCTCAGCTCCAGACCTCAAGAGCTCTCCTGATCATTTGTGTCTCAACTAATCCAAGAAGATGAACTGAAATCACCAAAAATGACAGACAGAGATCCCCTGGGTATCCCTGGGTTCTGCCTCTGGCCTGGGTGAACCCTACCCTGGGGCTTAATGTGGAAAATACTGTTGTCGGTTGGTCCTGCTTCACAAAGGAGTGGTTCCTTCCTTCCTGTGAGATGCTAAGACGGCATATGCGGGAGGGGGGTGCTTCCTGAGCCCATGGGTGGGTGCTATGACTCCCTCCTCAGACCCAGACCCTAGTCAGACCCCAAACTCATTCATCTCACCCCCAGGAGGCCTTTTAGGATGACAGCAGCATCCAGCCAGTTCTGGTCCCTTAAGGGGCTCTCGTGTCATCTCAAGCCCCAAGGTGTTGTCACACCAGGATGGTCTTAGCGTAAAAGACTCTACAAAGGTGGCCACAAGGAAACAGCTAGCAGGGTGCCAAGCTGACAGGGCCCAGATCCTCTGGAAAAAGTGGTAGGAGGTGGCAGAAGAGATCTACCTGAGAGAGCTGCTGCCAGCAATCCAGCGATTCCAAAGAAGAGCCACATGTCTGGTGCCATCTCCGGCCGCTACGCACGCCTGCCTGCAGGAAGAGCCATCGTGGTGCGGGAGGCGGCTGTCCAGTGTTGCCCTTTGTGTTCCCGGTGTCCTCTGTGCTGCGCACACACTCTCTCCTACACAGGCCCAGCCTGTGAGTATCTCACACCTCTACTTTCTGCTTGTGGTTTTGGTCTCCAGGAAGCCAGGCTGTTGTTACGGAGGTGGGGCGGGGAGCCCAAGCTGCCTGCCGTAAGCCCACCAACCCATGTGAACCCCAACAGAGTCACAGAGTCAAGTGCCCAATGTGCACACCCCCGGGGGTCTTCCAAGAAAGACCAAGAGGCTGTGCCTTGTTCCCTTGAAACAAGAGACAGCTCATTCCAGAGACTTCATGACCCCCTGGTACCCCTCCCACAGAATCCAGCTCTCATGAAGTTAAGTTCCAAGGTTTGTGTGAAGGATGTGGTGACTAAGAGGCAAGAGAATAGGGTCTTTATTATTATATTTATTATTATTATTATTTAATATTTTTTTTATTTTACATATCGATCACAGATCCCTCTCCTTCCCATCCTCCCATTCCCCCTACTGGTCCCCCATCCCATCACCCATCCACTCCCCAGGGAGAGTGAGGCCTTCCATGAGGGATCATCAAAATCTGTCAAGTCCTTTGGGTAGGGCCTAGTCTCTAGGCTAAGGGAGTATTCCTCCGTGGGGAATGGGCTCCCGAAATCTGTTCATGCACTAGAGATACAGAGGATAGGGTTTTAATTCACTTTTATTTTTCGTGTGTGTGTGTGTGTGTGTGTGTGTGTGTGTGTGTGTGTTTGTATGTGTGTATGCTTAAAGCTAATGCTGGGAGTCTTCTTCAGTTGTTTTCCATCTTACTTATTGAGGTTGGGTCTCTCACTGAACACAGAGCTCACAATTCCATTAGTCTAGCTAGCCAGTTTATCCTGGAGGTCCCATCGAGGCCTCTCAAGCCCTGGTATTGCAGGAGGCCGTTCTGCCATACCTACTGGCCTTTTTACAAAGGTTCTGAAGATCTGAGTTCTGGCTCTGGAGCTTCTATGGCACACCACTGAGTTATCTCCCCAGTCCTGGAATGCACTTTGGAGAGGAAAGGGCCAAAGGAAAACCCAAAGAGTAGATGGTCTTAGAGTAGGACCCCCCCCCACCTGCATGTGGCCCATCCCAGGTGGGTGCTGCACAGAGGTGGTACAGGATCTGAGCCCCACCTTTGAGAACTGGCTGTTTATATCATAAGAGATGGGCAAGACGTGAGTGGGTTTTCAGCAGGTGGCCATGGGGAGAGGCTGTTGAGTAAGGAAAAGATTCAGGAAGAAAGAGCTGGACTGGCTGGAGAGGACCAGACTGCCTGGGAGATGGTAAATTGTGCTTGGGAAGAGGCTGGGACTGCATGTGTTTAGCTCACCAATGTGCTCCCCTTGGAACACAGTAGTTGCTAAATAAATTTTGTTTAAAGAACGAGGGAATGGGTAATTTGGCTCTCTAAGCGGAACCCTGGGGTCTAGAACGGGACTGGTTCCCAATTCCAGTCTTGCTCCATACGAATGACATTTCCTGGTGCTTACTTCTTCCTTTCTAGCTCCTTTCCTTCACTTGTGTAATGGAGAGGATTTCTCCCACAGGCTGAGAGAACATTTGATGGCACCTTGGGAAGACAAAGTGAGTCAGGCTCCTCCCACAGTGAGACCCCGCCCAGCCCAGAGGAAGAGAGGGGCGGGAACGGGTTCTGGCATCAGCTAAGGGCACCCTCTAGTGGAGGGTCTCTGACAGCACAAGGGGCCCGTGGGCATATGCTGCTTCGTCAGGTTTCCAGATTCCACTCCACTTATCGCCAGTCTTGGGAGTGTGCGATCTCGGAATCACTCCACGGGAAAAGAAGAGATGAAACAACTTCCCTGCCTTCATGAAGCATACAATCCACAGTAGGTGTGAGACGGCTCAGTGAGTAAAGGTGCTTGTTGCCAAGCCTGAGAGTTCAGTCCCTGGAACTCATCACATGGTAGGAGAGAACCGACTTCTACAAGTTTCCCTCTGATTTCTGACCTCTGATCTCCACACGTTAATGAGCACAGGCAGACAGGCACGTGCTCTCTCTCTCTCTCTCTCCCTCTCCCCCCCTCTCTGTCTGTCTCTGTCTGTCTGTCTGTCTGTCTGTCTCTCTCTCTCTCTCTCTCTCTCTCTCTCTCTCTCTCTCTCACACACACACACACACACACACACACACTTAAAAATAAATCAGTGGATCCAAAACTAGAAATGGAAAGGAATTTTTCTCTAAATCCAAATGAAAACAGGGAAGACAAACAAAAAAAAATTGAATAGAAAAGAGAGATAGGTTTCAGTGGTAGAGGTGGGTACAGAGTAGCGGGGAGAGTGATCCTGGCATGGAGCAGGACAGCAGGGGGCAAGTGTTGCTGTGGCTTGAAGAATATGATACATTATAAACAGCTCATGCATCCTGGGCTTTAAGCTCAGAGCAGGAAGCTGTAAGATGCGAAAATTTGAAAATTTCATAGACTTGTTTCCAGGCTGGAACTTGTTATTTGCGGTGCCTTCAGTCTCTGTTCCTCAGCCATGGTCACTAAAATTTGGCTGAAGAATGAACTTTCTTATGCAAATATGAACATCTGAGTTTGGATGCTCAGAACACACTATAAATGTTGGGTGATGGTGTCAACCTGCTTGTAATTTCAGCCTTGGTAGACAGAATCATAAGATCTCAGAGAAAGCCGGCTGTTAAGATTAGCCATATTGGTGAGCTCTGGGTTTGATGGAGAGACACTGTCTCAAGGAATAAGAACCATGGAAAGTGATTCCCAATATCAACCTTGATCCTTCACATGCATGAACAATCATACACACATGTGCTCCTATACATGCCTACAGCATGCATAACACTGATGGGGGATGTCCTTCTGTATAAATGTTTCTCTTATTGGTTGATAAATAAAGCACGGCCTGGCCAATGAAACAGGAAGGTAGGCTGGAGGAGGACGAGGAGAATTCTGGGAAAGGTAGGCAGAGGGCCCACCATAGAGACGCTATGTGGGCTGCGAAAGGAGTAGCAGGTCCTGGCATTCTTCAGTAAGCCAAGACCACATGGAAATACATAGATTAGTAGTTATGGGTTAATAATTAAGACAGAGCTAGCCAATAAGAAACCAAAGCCACCAGGCAACAATTTTTAACTAATATGGCATCCGTGTATTTATTTGGGGTTGAGGCATCTGTGGAAGCAGGCTGACAGGAAAGAATTGCCAGCAACAAAACTGTGCGTGAGGCATGAACCTACGACCCTGAGATTAAGAGTCCCATGCTCTACTGACTATTCTCATATTACTAATAACCTTTTTTAAAAGTTTTAGACAAAAAAGGGGGATATGTGGTGATATCTTTCTTGCACAAATAAAGCCTGTCTGGGGTTGAGAACGGAGCTTGCCCCTAGCTAACTACAGAGGTCTGGAGGTCTGTACAGACAGACAGTAAGGTTGTAGCTGGACAGAACAGGATATAAGCATCGAGAAACAGGGAATCGCTCTCTTCTCTGCTGAGATGCTTAGGAGGTGAGGTGTGCTGTGGCTTGCTCTGTGATCTCTCAGCGTTTCCCTCTGTATCTGACTCCTGCATTTTATTGCCTTTTTTTTATATAACACACACAGAAAGAAAAAGAAAAATAATAAACTACCTCTTACTCCGTTGTGTTTGTACTGACAGTCTGCATCCCCATAATGTCCCATCTGTGCATTTGAACCTTAGATCACAACTTTCAATGGTGAAGCCACACCCAGTGATGCCCAGCCCTTCTGCAGCCATTCTCTAGTTTCCATAACAAATGACCACAGACTTGATGACTTCAAACATCAGAGATTTTTAGGCACCATTCAGCAGATATTTATTTACTCTATCAGTCCTCTACAAGGGTGACTTTTGCCTCCGGGAACATTGAACCTGGAGACATTTTAAATGGTCACAACATATGTCTGTGCTGTCTGGTTCTTAATGTCCCCCAGGAGCCACCTGGCTCAGGGCACTGTTGGAAGGTGGTGGAAATTAAAGAGGCAGAGCCTTGTGGAAGACTGTGATGATTTAATCTGTCAATTTGGCTGAATTTACATTCATCTAGGAAACACCTCTGGGTATGGCTAGGAGGGTGTTTCCAGAGAGATTTAACTGAGCAGAAAAGGGCCCTCTAAATGTGGACACCACTCTTCTATAGGCTAGTGTCTGGAACCCAATAAAAAGGAGAAAGGGAGTTGAGCACCAAAATCCATCTCTCTCTCTGCTTGACAATAGACACAAAGTAACTGCCACCTGCCTTCCCTATGTGGCAAACTGTATCCTCAAACCACTAAACCCCCCCCCCATTAAGTTGATTTTTTGGGGGGTATTTTGTCATGAGCAACAATAAAAGAAACTCATACAAAGGTCTTCTGGACATAGAGAGTATGCATTGAAGGCGACTGTCCTAATCAGCTTTAAATGTTTATTTGACACAGCCTAGACTCTCCTGAGAAGGGATTCTCAGTTGACAAATTGCCTGGATCAGATTGTTCCCCCCATGTCTGTAGGAGACTGTCTTGATTGTGAATTGAAGTAGGAGGGTCCAGCCCACTGTGGATAGCACCATTCCTGGGAAGGTGGTAGACTTCAAGGTCTCATATACGCTCAAGCCATCCCTAGTGAGACAGACCACTTCCTGTTGCTTGTGAATCAAGATTAAGAACTCTCAGCTCCTTCTCTAGCACCACATCTGCCTGCACGCCTCCATTTCCTGCCATGATGATAATGGACTAAACCTCTGGACTGTAAGCTGCCACCACAAATAAATGTTTTCCTTTATAAAAGTTGCTGTGGTCATGGTGTCTCTTCACAGCAATAGAAACCTTAACTAAGACAGACATTTATTGGCCATTACATGGTATTGACTCTTACATGCCAGCCACAGTGCTAGGTTGTCTCATTTTGATGTTTACAAAGATTTCTAATGTGACTGTGGTTCTCCTGTAGTTTTCAGACAATAAACTTTAGGGATTGACCTTCAGGGTTGTGACTGTGTCTGTCTTCAAATTGGTCAACTCCAGTGTTTGCTCTCTTGGACAGGTTGTAACTACCATGTGCT